TGGCATGCATTATTAGAAATGGACAGTTGATGCATAAGTGAAAACTATTTATTCATACATACAATAAAATTAAAGCATTTATACATGTTACGTACAATTTCAATACATACATGCATTTTTACAACGAGGCTGTACTATACGTCAGCATATTATAAAATATTGACCTTAAAGCTTATACACACACGCGCGTGCACGCACGCCCACATAAGTGACGTACGAGCTTTTTTTGTCATATCAGCGTACTGTGTATACATAATACGTCTTGTATAAATTTTACGGATGAATAGCGTTTTAACTTATAGTATGATTTGTCTGTATGAACTCGGGATGTAACAGGAGAAAACCAGAGACCTATTTTTTGCTTAAAGAACTTGTTGATTTAACTGGTTAATGAGCCTCTTTCTTTAGTTTCTTGATTATACTGTGTCATTTTATACTGTTATATTTCACAAAAAACTTTTACCACATAGCCTACTCAAACAGCCATATCGTCTTAGCCAGATACCCAGTAGCCCTTAAAAATACGGTCATTCGCATCTTCATGTGGGCAGTCTTCTTGATACATATTTTTACATTATGTACAACACGGTGGAAAAATAACTTGTTATGCATTTTTGCTGTTAACACGGCGTAGTATTAAATTTTCGGTAGTAGTACGATATCACACATAATGAAGCCATCAACAAGAGATAAATCATTGTTATCTTTAATAACGCTTCGACCCTTCAGTTGGTCTACATATATCAATGGATCACCAACAAAAAAGTTACTACTTTTGCATATGTATGGGTACAATTGACAAACGTCAACTTACATAACTTTTCTGTCCCCTGGCATTCGTACTTTTTACTGTACTTCCAGTATGTCTTTCTAAAAATGCATCACGTGGGTTAAAATATTTTTGTTTCCAATAACCTATATTTTTTAAATAAAAGGTCCAAGGTTGTCATTGCCCCAAATTTGTGAACAAAGGGGACATTTCCACTTTTTGATCAGCTGGTAGTAATACGCCACTTTTTTTCACTGATAGCAGAGGTTCTCCAGTATTTTTTGTCCATTGTATTGCCACTTGTTTAAGAAAAATCTGTTTTCTCTAAAACGTTGTGGACAACCATGTCAGAAATAACCGTTGCATTGTAATACAATGCTACGATGATTATTCACACCAATTTGTAGAGCACAATAGCCATCTACAACGCTACTCTCTGGTAATCGTGTATCTTTGCATAGTCTAGCATGTTCGATGAGTCTGCCAGAAAGACGCCTCTCCATTCAATACAGCCACTTCAGAACTACTTTTGACTGGTTATTTACTAGCCCGTAATCTCTTAGTGGTATAAAATTGGCTTCTCCTTAAAAACATCTTCTTAAAGACACGCACACATGTCAAGGTTATTGTCGTATAGTTAATGAAAGGATCCACTTGAAAATTTGCAAGATTTTCTTGATAAGTCACGCAAGCTAATCTTAAAATCATTACATCCTGTTTACAGTATTTAATAAATTCTTGTTGGAAATTCAATGTTTAATTTTTGGCTTCTTGTTCACTGCACAATTTTAAAAAAGTTTTCTTTGTCGTACAGACATACTATCGGGCAATTGTACATCTAATAGTGGTGGAGGACCTACGTATAATTATTTTTCAGGTGTATTAAAAAAATATGAAAAAACGCCCTTCGCAATATCAGTCAGATCATACTCTTTGGGTAAACTACTCAAATTCACGTGAAAATAATGAAGGCTTCTAATAACTTTTATCTTCATAAATTCCATTAAAATACTTTTAGATTCATTTATAATTATGAATGGTGTCACTCGCTTGCTGAGTATTTCAACAATATACTTAAAAATAAATTAAGGGTCGAATCCCTGGGCGTTGTAAGCAATACAGACATCTCGATAAAAATATTTTTTATAATCTAGCGCAAGATCTATTACTTATTTTATTGGATGAATTTGACAAATACGTTTGCGTATTTCACAGTAGACGTATCTTGTTAAAACTGAGTCTGATTCTAAATTGATATAAAAACTACAAATACGTATAATTCGTGAGCATTCATGATACGTTACGTGCACCTTGTAACACTGTTTAAATCCGTTTTGGTAATACCCTTTATAACCATTAATATTATAAGGAAAGAAAAATAATACTTTGGACAAGGAGCTCACAGAGTATGATATTTATAGCATTTCTGTATGATGAATGGTATATCTACTGAGATTTATCGTAATATTTTATATATTTACTGAAAAAATAAAAAAGACAGATTTCTTACTCCATTTGAATAACCAAATGCATCACATTCCAATTTTACACAGTGTGTGTTGTACACATACGCACGTGCATGTACGTAACTTGAGACTCTTAAGGTGCATTCTACTCGACACGATATTCATCAAAAAGAAGTCTACGACTTTTCCAAGTTTTTTGTTATTTGAACAATGGAATGTCTTACTAGATAGAATTGACATCTCTATGTAAAAAGGCTCTCTCGTTATTTTCACCCATGTACACTCAAACAGTGTGCATTTTATAATGTGCTCGCGAACGTAACTTAAGACGCCTGGAACCTTATTTAGACTTTTTTGATAAAAGAATCTTGTGCAACACAATCATTATTGAAAGAAAAATACAACTATGGTAATCTTCTTATTTAATACCTCACAACAGAATTCTGTTCTGTGATGATTTCAACAGAAAGATCGTATGTCACTAGAATCGCATTAACAAAGAAATTTGATAACGGTATCAACTTCTGCGTAAGATACATAACAAGCTATTCCCAGTTCAAAGATTCCTACGATGTAGTTGCTACTTTTTTTTGGAAACTTACTTTCCTCAAGTCTCAAAGCATTTTTGCAGAGTTGGCACTATACATACGTGAGGGTGCTAAGATGTAACATTCTAAATGTTACTTCACGTTACTTACCATTATTCTGTCTGCTGAGTATGAAACTTCAAGTTACTACTCAATGGTACGTTGTGTTCAATTAGGTTAGTTGTTAATATGCTTCTGGATTAAAAGGAACCTTCGGATGCTGAGACAGTTCAGAGTAGTAATATTATAACCGATACTGCGCACCAACCGTGGCCTGATCCGATTTTTCTAGAGATTTTATAGGCATGTCGTGAATGAGCTTATCCGTTTACAAATTTTCTAGAAGCTTATGTAACTAGTAAATGAGTTATGTTAGAATTTATTAACCAAGTAAAGTGAGTTTTAATATTAAGGCAAGAGATTTTGGACTCGTCAATCCACAATGGCTTCCCCGAAAAAAATTTGAAAGGGCACCAAATAATTGCAATGCCGTGTTTGCAGTAATCTTTTTTTACTTAAAATAAATATGTAATTATAAGCTATTGGTTGATACAAACACATGAAAGATTAGTGAAATGGCAAAACATTTTTAAAAACTATGGCTGGAAACAATTTTTTTTCCTTATTTAAAAAAAAAAGACCGTGATCCAAAGAAAACATTCCCAATACATAACCTTTGAAAAGAAGGCTTGTGCATTATGTTTATAAAAAAGTGATAGTGAATGGGACAAAACAATTGACATAATCGTTCATAATTAAAGTGATATAGTGAGGGACAACAGTAATGCATGTGATAAAAAAAAATAGTAATTGCATTAAACAGTGATAAAAATAGTATCATTTGATTGAGAGATAATTAATTCATAATTCTCCGTGATTTTGATTACCTAGGAAATTTAAATAGTATGTCGTATAATAACGAAAATAAATTGACTACATCTGTGATTTTTGTTGGTAGAGAAATATCTCGAAATAGTAGAGAGGAAAATAGTTACAGTGATAGTGAGAATAATTTAAAGAATTCACTAATGCTAACTATGGCTGTAAAATATGTACACAAAAATTAATTTTACTTTTGTATACGGATGTTGGAAAAAAAAATTTAGACATGGTCACAAGTGTGTATGGTGTAATAAAATTAATCACCAGAAAAAAAGGTAAATATGTGTGGGGACTTTATAAAAGTCTTAATGGTTGCTAGTCCTAAAACTGCCAATTCAAGTTAAATAAACATCAAAATTTGTTTTCGGCTTGTATCACAGCCACTTACTGACCTAAATATAGAAAAGTATTTGATAATTTCTTTCATTATGAAAATTTTTTGCAATACTCTAAATTTTCGTAAAGTGAGAAACGTTTTAATGAGAACCGTAAGCTGAACTAATACCATGATAAGGACTCTTTCATACTTTCTATTTTTCTTACTTCATCTTCATACAATAATTTGATAATTTAAGAATAAAACACATACACGTATGCAAGCGAGTTAAGGTAATCTTAGTAGTGTCAAAAGATGGAAGGAAATCATTGTACCCCCTTCCAAGAAAGTAAACAGCGACACAGTGCCCCGTCAGCAAAGTCTCACTAGTGTAGGTGGTGAGGGTTTATTATGATGGGCTACCGTGTCTTAAAAACTACTTACTTACTGAGCAAAATTTTTAAATAACAATGTGCAGATAGATAATCAAACTACTAAATCGTGGCTCCTATTTTTTGTTACGTAACGCTCCAGCTTTAAGACCTAGACAAACGCCACGCCAGACCTGTTTTACCAGTAATAACATCACTACTGACTCAATAAATAATACTGTTACTATTGACATATTTTTTTTACATGCAAACCGCATCAACATTGTTTCTGATATGATATTACCATGTTGTGTTCTCTATTTTATACTAACATTTTACTTTGCAGTACTGTGAAAACGTTAATGTTACATATAAATACCATCATCGTATTGAAAACTTTGTAACAGCATTATAATGAGCTAAAGGCTCAACTATCCTTAATCAAAATAAGACATTACTTATAAAACTTTTTTGGACGTTAAAATATAGATATTTGTTTTTTTAAAGCTTGTGAAGTGCTACAAATTTTTTATTTATAATTTTAAATTCTTAATACTTTATGACAATTTTATTACACAAACACTAAAAAAGTTTACATCAATTTGGTACCTTGTGTTTATCTCTTCTGTTTTACTTGGACTTCTTAATATTGTTGACGTATTATCCATTCCATTAACATTACTAATTGATGAAGCGTTTCTTTGAATGTATTTGATTGCATCTTTCATCGTCAATTTTGAATACGTTTCTAGAATTTTGGGTTCTGCTCCATAGTAACTTCTTACAAGATAAGGTCGGATGTACTTATTGTCAAACCTTTTAAATCTACGGCGATAAATCGATTAGCTATATTGATTGCTGTAAGCCTTAAGAGAAAAATATTAGTAAGCTTAACATACTTATCTCGAACATGATAGTTCCCATGTTTTCCTAAAATATCTTCTATTCCTGCCATTATGTGATCAATTATCTGGAAAAGGAGTAATAAGTAAATTCAAGACATTTTTATTAAGAAAAATTGAAAAAATTTTTTTTAAACCTTGGTTGTTCAGAAAGAAATAAAGTTTTGAACCAAAGCACTTAGAATGTATATAATTTTATAGTTTTATAAGTAGATATCTTAAATGTTTTGTTAAATATTTTATATGTAGCAAACCATGCTGTCAAATACTCTAAAGCCCAGTAAGAACAAGCAAAGTAATGGTTTTCCAGGTTATTTCTCTATTTTTCCTTATGCTTATGAGACTAATTTGCCTCTCTTCAAGAACTAAGGCACTTATTTTACTGCGTTCTAATGAATAACCATGCTGTCAAATACTCTAAAGCCCAGTAAGAACAAGCAAAGTAATGGTTTTCCAGGTTATTTCTCTATTTTTCCTTATGCTTATGAGACTAATTTGCCTCTCTTCAAGAACAAAGGCACTTATTTTACTGCGTTCTAATGAATAATATGAGCAAGGGTGATCAAACTTTTTATTTACTAAGAAAAAGCAGTCTTTGACCACCAAGAGTACTAGTTCCTCATTATAAAGTATAATACATCTTTCTACGACTACAGACATGCAAAAAAATCTCTACTGCTTTTTGATCTTCATTGAAGTATACCATTTTAAAATACCTTGAGGTTAACTTTAGCACTCTGAAAAACTCTCGTTTCCTTAAGTCTAGTCACTAACCTACCTTAACTTATTTTCTAGCACTTTTACAACTCAAAATTTTTTTATTTCATTGACATGTGTATTCTGCATCCTGTATTAACAACTTACATCAAAATAGTTTATAGGGCCCCAAGTGACACCCCATAATCTTTGGCTCGGTGGGCATGTACCTTTTACTATTTCAGATTAGTTTACTGTTTTATAAGTGTCCTTTAATCTTTCAAACATGGTTATCAGATTAGTCATATTATTTTACTACTGATCCAAATTTGACCGTAGGCCTCAAACTTGCATCGTACAAAATACATACAAAAATCATGTCACGAAACACGTGTACTTCTTGCCAAGAATACATATTTATATTCTTTTAAGTCTAAGGACTAGAACTGTTAATATCTTAGTATGCTAGTTATATACTGATTAATACTGTCACGGATGTGGCTTATACAAAAGAATTCCTGAAGCTTGTTCCATTTCAATATATAATACGACATAATAAAAAGCAACTTTCACACTTTAAACAGAAAAAAGTTTAGTAAGATCCAGTCTGTTGATCAAATGCATCGGTACCTGTACCTACTGCTATTGCGCTACGTATCTACAGGGCTCTCACCGAGAACATAACTATATTTGTAAGTGGTTGTGGTGGCGCAGTGGTAGAGTTGCAGTTCTGCCGATTTCTAAGATTATAAGCAGCATATGGCGCGGTTAGTACTTGGATGGGTGACCGTTTGAGTCCCGCTGATTCGCCTGTGCTGTTAATTTTCAGGGGTCGATTAACTCTTTCTCTCATGCTGCAAACGTGATCATAGGTGCGATTGAGGTGGTCCTTGTATTTATACGTGTTTACGCGTATGAAGATCTGGCCATAACTTAGGTTTGCAACGATAGCTGAAAAACACTATCCTTGAATGAAAAAGCTATGTCTGAGTCTATGGGCAATGACGAATAATAATAGTAATAAGAAAAAAAAAAAAAAACTAGATTGGTATGAAGTGCAGGTCTGTACTGAAGCTGTTTCTGTTGCAAAATCGAAGTAGAATGCACGAAATTTCAGCTGGGTTGTAAGAAACAATTATTTTTTGCCTCGTAACATAAAAATAGCATTGGCACTGCTTAATTTTAGGTTCTCGGGCAACAGGTATACGTAACTCGTTTGATAAGACTTTTTTGCAGACCTCATAAGAGCCTTTACTTTTGGCTCGTACCGTTAACCTCTTGGTATGTAAATTCAAACCTTTGCAAATTAGTACGTATCGTTCTATTACTCAGATACACAATTACCATTTACTTACATTTCTGAATAAGAGTATTGAGAAATTTTTTTTAATAATATTTTCAAATCTTGTAGAAAACTTAAATCTTACGAGATACTGTTATCAAATTTTCGTAAGAAATTTATTTTTATTCATCCCAAATACACAATAACATCATAAAACATTTATCGTAATGTTAACGGACATAGCACACATTCAACAAAATATCGCCTTCTTTGATTTGTTTAGACCGGTCCTCGACACATGCAACATATCATTCTATTGTTAGCTTCACTCAACCGTCTTTCAGCGCATCTTTTGCATGCCAATTTGTGTCCACAAGGTACCATTTCACAATTTAGAACTTAGGTAATGCATAATACACATTTATCTAAAAATAATGGTGCAAATTAGCTCGAACGGTTCATAACCACATGCTTAACAAGAAAAAAAAGAAAGTTTTGGTGTTGTATAGCTAAAAAAATAGGAAATCTTATTGAATTAAGATAACAACTGCTTGTTTTTATAGCAATGATAAAATTATGCTCGAGGAGCAACAACTGCATCTGAATAAACGTCACTAATTATTTGACAACTTTATTTAAATATATATTTAATAAATGAGTTTCCATATACATTTCTTAAATGGCTAATTTGTGATATGCGTCAACTAAATTTGCACTGGTTACTGCAAAAAAATTCATTGGTACAACTTATTCAAGTAACTCACAAAAAAAAAAAAATATATACATAGAAATCTATATTAAAAACAAATTAAAAAGATTATACATCTAAAAGTACTGCTTATCATAAAAATCGATGAAATGTATTTTTTTTATTTTCTATGGACTTTGAAAAAAATCACACTAACTACCTTTTTAATTTAAACACAATTTAAAACTATTTTCAATGAGAGTCCTATTAAAAGCGTTTCGAACATTTCAAGTAAAGTAACAGATTGTTTGTTTTTCCGTATCTTTGTAAATCTATGTCCAAGCATTACTTTGATCAAACGTGTGTTGAACTGAACAGCCCACACTTAAGCGCTTAACAAACAGTATGTAGGGACTAGCATTTAAAAAAATATTCTGCTGAAATTTTCAGGCCACGCAACAATATTTACGAGAATCCTATCGGCAGGTATTTCAACGGTGCAACAATTATACAATTTATTTCTCACAATTGTTTGTTTAGCATGATCCGTTAATGCTGGTGCAAAAAAAATCGCATAGTTCCGTAAGATAAAGTTGGTCTATTCCTTATTTGCAACTTGTACAATCAACTGCAATATGGTTTCGAAGTAATGATTTCCAAATTGACTTATTGGCACGTTTCATTCAGATAAAAGACTAAAGACATGTTTTTCTTCCAATTTACTGCTTTTATCGTAATATTATTGGAAAAAAAAATAATTTTCCAAAACGAAAGGGATTTATTTGTAAAAAGCTACGTTTAAGAAATTCTGATTGTCAAAAAAATCGCTACTGATAGCGTACTCTATATTAAAACAAAAAGAAAAAATTGTTCTACTTACGTGTTTATCATCAGTAGTGACAGTCAATCAGAAGTGTCACGTCTAGCCCTGATTTTATGTAAAATACTCCAGTTAGTGTTGTAGCCTCAGAGAGTTATGTACACTTTTTGTTAAATAAGTATGCTAAATTTGAAACGTCACATATGTGTCTGAGCGATGTTATGTCCGTTGTAAGCTATTGGTGCTAGACTTCCAAACCGTAAGGAGCTCAGTATATTTTTATAAAGTTGAACTATCGAGTAAATACAGTCATTTGATGGTATCGCATTTTTCTCAAATTTTGAGTATATTATCCCTGCCTACAACCATTTATAATTTTCCGAGATATGTTCATGAAGTTCTTTATTCATAAGGGAGGAAAGTTTACTCAAGACACTCGTCACGTAAGAGCAGATATCAAAAGTACTTCTAAACAAAAAGGAACGTAGTTGCAGCCATCCTATCTTGAAAAGAAAAGTAATTCTGAATGAATCTCTGCATCCGTTACGTGATTTTTATACTTACCCATGTTATATAACACATCATACAGCTATTTAATGAATCCATGTAGCGGCGCTACATTACATGATACGCGTTTGTGGTTCTTAAAGAGAAGACTGTGCATCGTCTGTGCTATATGACTGAGCTACCTTCAACGTTTTGTTTAGAGATATTGGCATTATCTAATGTTCTTAGTACAATAATGATATTTACTGTCCCTTTTTTAAACAAAATTTCTAAGCGCCCATTTTTGATTAAACAATGAATACTGTAAGTTTATTTTGCTAATTAAGTAATTAAAGTAAAAAATTCTGTTTCTCTCAGACTGCCCTCAAACTAATTATAGTGAATAAGTATTTAATACAATTACATATTCACAAAGGATGTAGATTAAAATAAGCATAACGATAACGATAGTAAAAGTAAAGAAACATTATATATCAACCGTCTCAGTAATCCAGTGAATTAGATACTAATGAAAATGATAGAGGATACACCAGTGAAAGTATTCATCTCGCCTCTGCACAAAGCTACTTGAAACCAGGTAAGACGACGCATTTTAAAAACTCAAATCTGTATCACATTATACGTAATAACTCTATAATCATACAAAATCTCTTTAAACGACTTGGTAACTAACTAGTTACATTACCACCTATACCTCTGATTTGCTTAATAATTCAGAATATTGTATAAAGATAGTATGCTGATTAATTACGTATACTTTTTTTGTGTCGAAAATAATTTTTTTGGTTTAAATTCTAAGTTCATAGTTATTTGTTTAATTTATTTATTTTTTTTTTTTATTTAACACAGTTTTTTTTGTATATTATTGATTCGCTTATAAGAGCTTCAATTTAAATAAGGCACTCTAAAAACATTGAATGAAAAAGTAAATATGCAAAAATGCGGTGTAAACTTAACCAATAACCCCAACGGATGTAAAGGATGGAGCCACTTTTCAGCCAATTTACCAATAAAACAAGTGGATAAATTAATGAACTGTGTTTTCGCATTCATGATACTACTAATACGAGGAAAC